AATGAGGATTAAAATAACTCCTGAATAGCTGCCTTATTCCCTGAGCATCCTGTTCAATGAATGAGTCACAGGATTACGGCTGAAAAATAGGTTGGAATGATAGAAGAAACCCCTGACATAGTGAATAGAAATGAAGGGGTCGGGGACAGCCTTTAATCTGGCATTTCCCACCCCTTCAGTGACATTGCTGACTCTACTACTGTTAGCTCTTGGGGTTGTCCTGTTTGCTCCAGTCCGTTTTGAGGGCTCAGTGTGCTTGGGGATGGTCAGGCAGGTGCAGGAACACTCTGCAGGCAGGACAGAGCTATGAAGTCATTAGTTAGTGCACATGAGACAGCTGGGATTAACCATCTGTTGGGCTCAGTATTCCTTGCTCATCACCTCAGACTTGCCCCAAGAGGGACCAGGGGCTTCCTCTGCCCTTCCCTGGGCTGCAGTTTGTCACTCTGCCCAGACTCTGCTTTGCCTAGCTGAGGGTTGATTCCTGCTCCCCTTCCACTCTGCTCAGCTTTGTTTCACCAGCTGAAGGCCATTTGCTCCAGGGTTCCCCTCTGGACTATGAACCGTGAGCACAGAGGCAGGTGGATGATAAATGAGGAGCTTTGTGCTACTTACTTTGTGCTATTTACATTCTCATCAGCAGGTTTTGCTCTGCTGTCCTCCTCCCCTTCAGGGTCTTTCAGTTCCTAAAGCCTGAAGTGCTCTGGAGGATCAGCCCTTGGAAAGGGATTTTCTCTTCATTAGTGCAGGTGCCAAGGAGGTATCTTGTCATCAGAAACACAAACTGCTTGGTACAGCCTGCTCTGCAATTCTCAGCTTGAGGTAGGAAATGCTGAGGCTGTTGGAAAGACCAAAGGGGCAGAAGGCAAGGAATTGTCTTCCACGGAATTACTTAGGCTGGAAAGAGCCTCTCAGATCATCCAACAGCACTACAAGGCCACCACCAACCATGTCCCCAGGTGTCACGTCCACCCGTCCCTTACGCCCCTCCAGCTGGTGACTCCAGCCCGAGCAGCCTCAGGCTCAGTGCTCCTCCTCAGGCCATTCCTTTCAGCCTGGTGAACACATTTCAGAGCAGCTCCCAGTGCTTTAATAAATACTGTAAAACTAAGGCAAAATATTGCCTGACTGTCAGAGTGATCATAGATCTGTAATCCACTTGGCATATATTAAATATATCCTTGCTGTGCAGTTTTTATACGGAACTTTATTAGGAGAGACAGGCTGGAAAATACAGCATTTTCCTTCCATCTTCTGACACTTGCTATTTTTTCTCCATTATAGAACACAATAAATCTAGTTTTTATTACCAATATTCACATATCAAATCTCTGAGACTGGAAAAAATAGACTCTGGAGGAGACTAAAACCAAGCACCAAAGGAAAGGTTAAGTCTATGCACAAAGATTGTCTCTTAAGAGGATCTCCTGGATCACAGGTGCAATGGGAACCCTTTGGGGACTGTTTTACATTTCCCCAGGGTTTTGTGCCTCGAGGCACACACTTCAGGGGCTGAGTGTCCTGCTTTGACCCCAGCTCAGCCCCACACAGCACTCACCCACTGCTCAGATGGGGAGTGAGTCAGGAGGGTAAAGGTGAGGAAACTGGAGAGTTCAATACAGTTCAGTAGGG